ATTATAGAAGAAAGATTAGGATAATCAGAAAATCCATTACATATTTTTCCATTTTAGTGGCAATAATCATGATAAGTAACAATGATCATTTACTGTAACTAGACACTATGTACTATAATGGATACAAATTATCTCAGTCATTTTGACTATTCAATGTAGTAGGTTGTACTATTTTTCTCATTCCATTTAGGAAAATCTTAAGTCACAGACATCCTAGTCTCTAATACGATTTCTTTTTCAAGAAAAGTAACCAAAACATTTTGAAGAAGTGATTGATTTCGTGTTTCCTGCAAGGAGATATAAAGTAAATTTGAGTCATTTTATGTGTCAGAAAGCCAGAAAGCTTTCAAAAAATAACAAGGTTGGGTCCAAAGAACTTAGTGCCCAACTAAATAGAGGGTTCTATCGGACGAAGTTGCAGCAATAGAAAATTATGATTGTAGTTGAAATATATTCAATCCATGAGGAGCCCTGAGTCTGTAGTGACACCCAGACAGATCTTCAGAGGAATAAAATAATCTCAAAAAAGACAATGTGGCATTATTGACTCACTTATTGGGTAATTGAAAAAACCTAAAAATTACTTCTAAGCCTAACAGCTTGAAGTTTCCTTTGTTATTGAAAACTTTATTTTAAAAAAAACTACAAACAGAAAAATTACAACAATACATTAAACACGTTTATACTTTTCACCTAGAATCACCAATTATAGTCTGCCACATTTCCTTTGTGCATACCTATATAGCAATTAAATTCTTTTGTAGGTTGCAGAAACTATGATTATTTGCCACAAATATTTCAGTATGTATCATCAAAGTGCAAGGACACTGTCTGACATAACCACAATACAACAGATTCAGAAATTTTTAACATTGCTAAACTTCCAGTAACTAATAGAGATCATGTTCAAATTTTCTCAGTAATAGCAATAATATCTCTCAGTATTTATTGTCTAATTTAGTATCCAATCAAGAACCTCAAATTCCTTTTAGCTGTCATTTTGAGGTTCATTTTTCCTAGAAAGTTCTTCAAACTTTCTTATTTTTATATTTACAATTTTTATGTGTACATATCAGTTGGATTATAGAATGCCCTTCAATTTGGTAATAGTCATTTAATTGGGTGAAATGATATCTAATTGTGGCTTTAATTTGCATTTGTATTATGATTGGCGATGTTAAGCATTTTTTTACATGTCTATTGGCCATTTGTCTTCTTTTAAGAAATGCCTAGCCAGATCTTCCGGTTTATTTTTTCTGTGTGTGTCTGTGTAGGTGCGCGTGTGCGCACATGTGTGTGTGTTTGCTATTGTCAAAGGAATAGTTTGGAAATATTTTCTCCCACTCTGTGGGTTGTTTCTTCATGTTGTTCATTGTTTCCTTTGCTATATAGTAGCTTTTACCTTGATATAATTACAATTCTATTTATTTACATTTGCTTTTGTCGCCTATGCTTTTGAGGTCCTACTCAAGAAATCTTTGCCCACACCAATGTCCTAAAGTATCTCCCCAATGTTTTCTTCTAGTAGTTGCATAGTTTCAGATCTTACATTTAAGTATTTAATCCATTTTCATTTGAATTTTGTAAATAGTGAGGGATAGGAGTCTTGTTTCACTCTTCCGCTATGGTTATTCAGTTGTCCCAGCACCACTTATTGAAGAGGCTGTCATCTTCTCAATGTATCTTCTTGGTGCCTTTGTTAAAAATAAGTTGACTGTAAATGCATGGATATATTTCTGGGTTTTTTATTCTGCTTCATTGGCCTTTGTGTCCGTTTTTATGCCAATATCATGCTGTTTTGCTTACTGTGGACTTGTAGTATATTTTGAAGTCAGAGAGTGTGATGTCTCCAGCTTTGATCTTTTTGCTTTGGATTGCTTTGGTCACTCAGAACCTTTTGCAGTTCCATACAAATTTTAAGTTTTTTTTTTTTTAATTTTTGTGAAAAATGTCATTGGTATTTTGATGGGAATTGCATTGAATCTATAGATCACTTTGGGTAGTATGGACATTTTAACAATATTTTTTTGAGGAGATATCTTTCCATTTTTTCATGTCATCTTCAATTATTTTGATCAGTGTTTTATGTAAGTTTATCTTGTAGAGATCTTTCACTTCTGTGGTTAAATTTATTCCTAGGTGGGTTTTTATTTTTGGAGCTATTGTAAATGGAATTACTTTCCTGATGTTGTTTTCATATTGTTTTCTGTCAGTGTATGGAAATGCAACTGATTTTTAATGTTGATTTTGTATATTGCAACTCTACTGAATTTGTTTATCAGTTCTAACAGTTTTTTTGTGGAGCCTTTACGTTTTTCTAAATATAAGATCATGTAGTCTGCAAACAAAGACAATTTGATTTCTCCCTTTTCAATTAGGATGCTCATTATTTCCTTCTCCTGTCTAATTGCTCTAAGATTTCCAGTACTATGTTAAATAAAAGTGGTGAAAGTGGGTATCTCTGTCTCATTCCTGATATTAAAGTCTTTAACTTTTCTCCATTCAGTAGGATGCTAGCTGTGGGTTTGTCATTTATAAACTTTGTTAAGATATGTTCCTTTTATATCCAGTTGTTGAGTTTTAAATCATAATATTAAATTTCATTAAATTCTTTTTCACCATCTTTGAAAGTGATCATATGGTTTTTCATTTTAAATCTGTTGATAGGCTGTATTGATTGATTTGCATATGTTAAACCATCCTTGCATCCTTGGGATGAATCCCATTTAGTCATGATGAGAGATCTTTTCAATGTGTTGTTGAATTTGCTTTGCTACCATTTTATTGAGGATCTTTGCATCTATGTTCATCAGGGATATTGGCCTGCGCTTTCTTTTCGATTGTATCTTATCTGGTTTCAGTATCATGGAAATACTGTCCCCATAAAATGAATTTGTTGTTAACCTTTGAGAATTGATACATGGCTTGGGGTTGTGTTATTTGGGTGAAGTAGGCTTGGTGATCTGTGATCTTCTTGTACCCAAATATGCATATTTTCTCTAGTCTTGGAAAGTTCTCTGTTATTGTTTCTTTGAATAAACTTTCTACCTCAACTCTTTCTCTATTCCCTCCTTAAGTACAACGACTGTTATATTTTCCCTTTAGAGACTGGATGTCACTCTGCTACTTTTTAGCATTTGATGGAAATAAGAGAAGCCTAAGATTTATCAAGCTCTATATTAAATCTTCTCCAGCTTCTGTGCTGAGACATGATGGAAATCACATGATCTGGATCCCAATGGATCAGACTAGAGTTGTGACCAGTATTGTACCTGAGTATCACGGACAGCATCTTATCTTCTATATCTTCTACTCCCAGATCCAGGCTCTCAACAAACAGAACTTCCCCATGTATACTCACATAGACCAAGATAATTCAGTTATGCAGAAAGTGTTCCCAAGCCTACACCAGGTTGTCATGTCTTATAGGTGGTACCAGTGGAATTCTGTGCTCCTTAGAAGTTGCTCCAAGGAAAGACAATGTCAAACAAGGGCCTGCAAGTGCAACTTAATGGGTGAGTGTGTAGTCCTGTTCAGTCACTGAGATTTGAGGAATTATTTGATACTGCAGCATAGACTAGACCATTGTGACTGATACACTCATATTGTTAGCAGGAAAGCAGATTTATTTTAGGGTTCAGGCAAGATTATCTGTAGGTTTACTATAATCTTTTTTTTTAAAAAAAAACTGGTACTTTTATGTGAGTCCATTTCTTAACTCTGCCTTTGTGTTGAGTAAGGTGGAGTAATATCTACATCCAATCAGTTACCTAACCCAAGGTATAAAAAAAAAATTAGTTGGATCTATTATTCATTCACATATTCTATGACAATTTATTGAGCACCAACTCAATATATGCCAGGCACTGGGGAATCAGTAGTGAAAAAGAAGACAAAAATTCTTATGCTCTTAGAGCTTATATTCTAGTGAGGGAATGAGACATTAAAAAGTAAGTAAGTCATAAAGTATATCTGCTTCTCATAAGTGCTGAGAAGAAAAATAAGACAAGGAGAGCTAAAAGGTATAATGAGGAGAGGCTTTACCATTTAAAATAAGATTATTGGAAGTCCTCACTGAAAAGATGACATTAGAGGCAAATCCTTAAGGAGACCATCATGTGGCACCAGTCTGGATGGAACCCCAACTCTACGACTTACTAGCAAGTTACTTATTGCCTCTCAGCCTCAGTTTCATCAATTCTAAAATAAGAATAGGACCTGCATCAACAGGTAGTTTTAAAGATTAAACTGTATAATATCTTAAATGTCTAGCACAGTATTTGACATAGAATGGGCTGGTTGAAGTATAATAATAATTATTGTGTAGCAATAATTGGTTGAATATTACTCAACAACTTGAAGCTCTGTCAGGTGAAAATAAAAGGTAGAATTGTTCACTATGGCTCCAAAACTGAGAATGAAACATGAGATCACCAGGAAGATTCATTTCTACTAAGCAGAAAGCAAATCTTTCTATCAGTCAGAGAAGATCGAGGGCAGACTGGGTTGCCTTTGAAGGTGGTAAGTTCCCTGTAACTAAACCTGTTCAAGCAGATACTACTTAGTGAACATGCTGTATGCAGACCCCAATCCTGCCATCCCTGAGAGCCTATGAATTTATGTCAAGATTTATCCACACCCATACAATGATCTGGTTCCCTCTCCTAGTGTTCTGACTTTCCCTATTCATGCTGCTATAGGTTTACTGTACAATCTTCCACATAAACAAGAGGAACCCTTCCAGCTCCAGGTGTTGGTGGACAGGTGGCTCAAATTTAACACAATTGTCATCTGGCCACAAGAATGGGTAGAAGTGACTGTTCTCTTTTGGGACCTGAGTTCATTCCCCAGTGATATTTACACCAAAACTGAGAGGAACAGGTTTTCTGTCCGTTTAGATTCTCCAGTGTTTAAAGTCCATCACTTTTTTTTTTTTCTTCTTTTTTTACCAACCCCTCCAGGAGATGACAGATGACTTTGATCATGACACCAACACTTACCTGAGTAAGAATCCAGAGGATTTACAAAAGATTTTTGGCTTGCCAGGGCTCATCAACCAGAAACAGCATTTTCAGATTCAAGGTGAGGTCACATTTAGGACCATTCGTGGAAAGGAGATGGATCCACCAGGAGCACGTTCCTTGGTAACCAAGGGAGAGGAGTGACATTCTGCTTCTAGTCTGGCTTATGAATAATTCCTCTGCTAGAACACTCTGCTCTCTCTCTTAGTCTGCATAAGTTCTGTTCATCCTTCAAGTTTTAGCTGGAAGTTATATTTTCTGAGAAAGACCCCTTCAGTCCCCTAGAGGCAGCCTGGGGAGAGTACAGACTTGGCCCAAATGCCATCCCACATGGGCAGCCCCTGGGCACTGCCAAAGAACTACACTCCTCACAGCATTTCTCACTTGCAGGGAAATGTGTACATCTGCATCTGCACCGCCCTCTGCCGGTCAGTGATGCTGACACAGTGAGGAGTTCCAGGCTTCCAGAATAAAATCAACTGCTCGCCCCTAAGGAAGACTTGTATTTTATTGGCTTTTAAAACAGGCAGAAAGTATGATCACGGGTAAAAATTTAGTCAAATACCTGCACTATAAACCAAGAAGTTCGAATATCATTTCCTCTGTATCAGTCCATTCTCACACTGCTATAAAGACACTACGTGAGACTAGGTAATTGATGAAGAAAAGAGATTTAATTGACTCACACTTCTGCTCAGGAAACTTACACTCATGGCGGAAGGCAAAGGGGAAGCAAGACACATCTTACATGGTGTCAGGAGAGAGACAGAAGAGTATAGGGGAAACTGCTAAACACTTTTTAGAACCACCAGATGTTGTAAGAATTTACTCACTATGCATAAGAACAGCATGGGGGAACTGCCCCCATAGTCCAATCACTTCCCACTAGATCCCTCCCTCAACACCTGAGGATTACAATTCGAGATGAGATTTGAGTGGGGACACAGAGCCAAACCATATCATCTCCCTCCACTTTTTTCTTTATACCTGTTCCTGGGGTTATATGTCTATATTTCCTTAATATGGTAGTTATCCCTGTCTCTAGTAGATAAACTGTAAACTGGGTAACTTTAAAAATCAAAAGCTATGATTCCCTCCCTAGATAGTAGTTTTATCTCTGTAGGAACCACATTTGATCTGCTGGGGGTAACTGTATATTACAAATTTTTCTAACCCTTAACAGTTTTTCCTAAATTGCTAGTCTCACCTAAAAAGGCCCACTGATTACAAAATATGCTGAATTTATGGAATGCACTTTGGGGAGGCCAAGACAAGATGGAAGGTTCCATTCAGGAAGCTAAATATCTTCTGTTTCACTACACTAGGGAACTATGTGATTCCCACTTCCAGCTGTGGAGTGTGACAGTAGTGGGATAGTGACATACTTACTAAAGGAGTGGCTTTTGAGAAAGGCCTTGAAAGTAGTGTTTGATTTTCTATTGCTGTATAACAAACCACCACAAAACTGGGTAGTTTAAAACAACAGTCCTTTTTCCCTCACTATTCTGTGGTTTCACTGGGCTCAGCAGGACACCACTTGTGTTTCATGGTACACTGGCCAGGAGCTCAGTTAGGTCTGACTGTCCAACATGGTTCAGCTACATATCCAGCACCTACATGAAAACAGCATGAAGGCTGAGCCAGGACGCTGACAGAGCTAGAATAGCTGGTTGGTTTGGGTTCCTAGATATGCAAGCTCCCAGGCCTTCTAGGTGTAGGGACAGCTTCATGTCTGGGATATTTAATTAAAGTGAGTCACAGGACCAGCAGATTCACTGTAGAACAGGACTTCCAAGTGGGATGAATCCTGGGATGGGTGGTTAATTTGGAACTGCCTTTGGAGACCAGTTACAACACAGGTAAGAAAAAGATGCTGAGATGTAGGAAGATTAGCACAGCCTAAAGCATGAATAAAAACATGAAGCTGATAAAATACAAGAATACAGGCTAGTGAAAAGTGTAGAGTTTATAATTTCTGGTTCCAGGAATGGTGGCATAGAAGCAAGCTAGTTTTACCTCTCATTGTCCTAGAAAACCAGAAAAAAATATACAGCACCAGGATTATCACCAGCAATGTCCCAGAACTCAAATATGAGGAGAAGATAGTTCCCAGAGCCACAGAGAGATGCTCAGGAAAAGCTCTGAGCAGACGATAAGAGAATCAGACATCCATATCAGCAATGCTTCTCCCTGAAATCTGCTCAGCACCAAGTATGTGAAAACTTCCTCCTCAAATCACAGTTTCTCCACTGTAAAAGTGAGATCCAGGATGACAAACAGCATCCAGGTTGGGTTTCCTGATAGGAGACATATCTCTGCCTCAACCCAAGAGAACCATTGGAAGTGCCTGAAGGAAGACATATCTCTGAGGACAGCCAGAGACAAATGGGGGAGGTGAGACTATCATCTCCAGCCCTGGAAAGTCTATTCTGTAAGTCAGCCAAAGGAGATGTCAAATCAAGAGTGGTTGCTCAGCAGCACCACACTATAGGAGGTTTGTTCCACAGGGCTTCAGGGCACAAACCCCTATCTGGCCTTCCCCTATTATCCTCTTTGAGGCCATCCCATTCCAGACAGGAGGGACTCTGATTGTTTAGAGGCAGACCTAGGCTTAAGTTGTCATCTAGAGCTGAAAAGGAGACAACAACCTAGCAGAAAAGAAAGAGAGAGAGAGAGAGAGAGAGAACGTGCGAGAGAGAGAAGAAAGAAAGAAAGAAAATAAAAGAAAGAAAGAAAACAAAAGAATGAAAGAAAGAAAAGACAATCAACAGGTAAATTACAAAGAATCTCTAAGCAAACATATATAGTAAAAGCCAAAATAAGCCAGACAGAGAAGACTGAAATAAATAACTAATATTTCAATGCAAAGACAAGGATATACATCCAGAAGAAACAACATCTAGAGAGAACTATGACCTCCCCAAATGGGCAAAGCAAAACACAAGTGACTAACCCTAATGAGACAGGGATATGTGAACTCTGATGAATAATTCAAAATAGCAGTTTTAAGGAAACTCAGAGATCTCCAAGATAACACAAAAAATAATTTAGAAATTTATCAGAGAAATTTAACAAGATCAAAATAATTGAAAAAGACCAAATCTAAGAATTATTGGAGTTTAAAAGGGAATTCAGCAAGAGGTAGAAAGCATATTCAAAGAAATAATAACAAAAAGATGTTCTAAAACTTAAAAAAGAGATAAATATCCAGGTATAGGAAGATCAGAGAACCAAACAGATTTAATCCAAGTAAGACTACACCAAAACATTTAATAGTAAAACTCTCAAATATCAAAGACAGAGATGATCCTAAAAGCAGCAAGATAAAAGATCCAAATGACATATAAAAGAGCTCCAATTCATCTGGCAACAGATTTCTCAAAGAGAAGAAGGACTGAAGAGATTAGTACATTTTCAATGTCTTGAAAGAAAAAACCTACAATCCAAGAATACTGTATCCAAATAGTTATCTTTCAAATGTGAAGATATAAAGTTTTCCCTGGACATACAAAAGCTGAGATAATTCACCACCACCAAACCTGTCTTGCAGGAAATCCCAGCTGGAGGTCTTCAATCAGAAATAGAAAAAGGAAAAACACTGACATTCAAAAAGAAAATATTCAAAGGTATAGAATCCATTGTGGTGGCTCATGCCTGTAATCCCAGCACTTTGGGAGGCTAAGGTGGGTGAATTGCTTGAGATGAGATGTTCGAGACCAGCCTGGTAAACATGGCAAAACCCTGTCTCTACTAAAATACAAAAATTAGCTGAGCATGGTGGCAGGTGCCTGTAATCCCAGCTACTTGGGAGGCTGAGGCAGGAGAATCACTTAAACCCAGGAGGTGGAGGTTTCAGTGAGCTGGGATTGTGCCACTACACTCTAGCCTTGGTGACAGAGCAAGACTCCATCTCAAAAAGAAAAGAAAAAAAAAAAGAACTCACTCCTGAAAATAAGTATATAAACAAACCTAGAATACTCTATCACTGTAACTGTGGTATGTAATCCACTCTTAGTCTAATATGAAGCCCAAAAGACAAATCTATCAAAAACAGTAATAGTTATTGATATAGCTAACATTGTTAACCTGTTAAGCGATGGAAAGTAAAAAAAAAAAAAAAAATGTAAATTGAGACAACACAAAGTCAAAATATGGGGGCAATGTAGTTAAAGTGTAGAGGTTTTCTTTCATTTTTTACTTGTTTTTATTTTTTCCTGGTAATCTAAAATAAGTTGTCATCTTTTCAAAATACTTTTTTTCAAAAGAGAGTCTTACTCTGTCACCCAGGCTGGATTGCAATGGCATAATCATAGCTCACCACAGTCTTAACCTCTTGGGCTCAAGCAATCCTCCTGCCTCAAACTCCCAAGTAGCTGGGACTACAGGCACAGGCCACCATGCCTGGCTAATTTAAAAAAATTATAGAGACAAGTTCTCATAGGGCTCACTTTGCTGGCCAGGCTGGTCTTAAACTCCTGGCTTCAAGTAGTCCCCTTGTTTTGGGATCCCAAAGTGCTGAGATTACAGGTGTGAGTGACTATGCCCAGCCTAAAATAACTTGTTATACCTATCTATAAGATGTTCTTTGTGAGCCTCATGTAACCACATGCAAATACTTATAATAAATTTACTAAAAATAGAAAGCAACAAATTAAAACTATCAGAGAAAATAATTTACTCACAAACGAAAGCAATAAAGAAAGAAAACAGTAAGAGAGGAGTCTCAAAACAACCAAAAAAGAAGCCAAAGAAAAGGCAATGGAAAGTTCTTACTTATCAATAATAACATTAAATGTAAATGAGCTCAATGCTCCAATTAAAAGGCAGACCGTAGCTAGATGGATAGAGAAATAGACCCAATTATATGCTGCCTACAAGAAACCCATATCACCTATAAAGACTCACATAGACTAAAAGCGAAGGAGTGGAAAAAGATATTTCATGCATCTGGAAACCAAAAAAGAATATGAGTAGCTATATTTATATCAGATAAAATAGACTGCAAGTCAAAGACTAATAAGAGACAAAGAAGACCACTATATAATGATAAAGAGGTCAACCCAGCAAGAGAATATAACAACTGTAAATATGCATGCACACAACATTGGCACTCATGAGTATATAAATCAAACACTAATAATTCTAAAATAAGAGATAAGTGGCAACACAATAATAGTAGTGGAGTTTAACACCTCACTGTCAGTAATGTACAGATCACCCAAACAGAAAATCAACAAATAATCAATGAAGTTAAAGTGCATACTAGACCAAATAGGTAGGCCTGACATTTACAGAACATTTCACCCAAATGCTGCAAAATGCAC